ATGTGGTCCTCCTTGATTAGCGACTAATGAAGGTAATTAAGTTAATCAATTCATTAAGACTATTACACTGACATGTGGGTCCTAAGTAATTAAGAATAGCAAATAAACCATGTTTAGGATTTGTGTCGCTGATGTGTGGGCCCGCTGGCCACCGTGGCTGTCAATAGTTGACCCCGACCACAGCTGTCAGTGGCTTACTACTTTTCCTTGAGGAAAATAATTAAAATAAGTACATAAACTATTTAGTGTGTAGGTGCAAGCCACGTCGACATATATCAAATGGAATAATTATTCTTACTGTAACATTGGAAAGAAACAATAATTCACAAAAGATTTTTGAACCCAAATTTCTGTAATGATGTAAACACTACCAATTAAGTTTTCAGGTAACAACTAAAATTAAAGTTCCATGGTCTAAACGATTTGTCTCGCAATTTACACGTGATTTGTGTAATTATTTTCTTTGCCTATATTTAATACTCCATGCATGTTTCCAAACATTTGATGTTACAGGGTGAAAAATTTTGCTAGGGGATCAAAACAGGCCCTAAATTGTTCTGCAGAGAAAAAGATATGTTGGGATTTGGGAAGATGCTTTTATGGAAGTTTTGCAGTACATATCTGTACCTATTACAGATTGTGAAATATGTCATCTCCACAAGAGACATTCACAATAAGTCCAAAAATCAGGTTCCATAGGCCATAATATGATTGAGGTGTCAAACTAACACTAATATATACTGCAGATATAATGGTCCATATTAAGGCTAGAAAGCAAGTGGTTCGAGGTAGTAATCAATTTTTTTTACTTAAATAGAAATGACAGCATACTATCATATTGCTGCTTAAAAATTGTGAGGAACTGGAGAGCACAGTAAACATATCCCATTTAGAATCAAGCATCAACTTCAATCAGATCGGTCAACCTTCTTTTTCCATTATTTATACCTCCTGTGAACTGAACTCTAGGCACGATATGAATAAATACAGTGAGGGAAGCATACCTCTCCCTATCACGTTGTCTTCTAACTTCCTCCAGAAACTTAAGTTAGTAATGTCGGCAAGCATACCTCTTCATATACAACATATGCAAGTAAATTTACAATTGACAACTATAACCGATAAATAAAGTACCTTGCCGCAGGGCAAATGGAGAACGACAGGAAAATAAGTTAATGGTGTAGATGGCGCGTGTCCATTGCAGTAGTGTGGCACCGCCAACTTGCATAGTTGGCTGACAACCTACAGGTCATAGCAAGGTGAAGCAGAAGTGTAAAAAATTTTGTGCGAAAATATATAGCTCAATGCAAAGGGGCAAATTTTACATGTCCATACTCTTTTCTCCAACTACTGTCATTAGGATGATCATAAACTGAATTCGTTTGGTGCACATATGTGACAGAGATAAGATCAGTCCAAGTTCAACGGGTGGCGGTACCGCAAATCATAAACTCAGTTTTTTTAATGATGCCTTCGAATTGTGGTTTCATGCCACCAAGTCTGATCCAACACATGAAATGCATACCAAGAGAATTAGTATGTCTTAAGAAACCTGTCATGGAGTGAGTGTGTGAGAAAAGAGAGCTTAGGAATTTGGAGAATAAAATGCATTTTATTTGATTGGCATTTCTACAAACACATGGTGGGCATGGATTGTACTCCCTCCATCCCTAAATATTTGACGCTATTGACTTTTTAAAACATGTTTGACTGTTCATCTTATTAAAAAAATAATGTAATTATTAATTATTTTCCTATCATTTGATTCATTGTTAAATATACTTTTATGCATACATATAATTCTACATATTTCACAAAAGTTTCTGAATAAGACGAACGGTCAAATATATTTAAAAAAATTAACGGTGTCAAATAGTTAGGGATGGAGGGATTACTCGTCTGCAAGCGCCACATCAAGCAATGGAGACACAAGTACAGCAAACAAGGAAAATCCATGCATGGACACCAGCGCTGGTGCAGGCGCAATGGCTGTGAGCATCTCACCTGATGCTAGTGCAGGTGCCAGTGCTGGTGAGGCATAACCCTGGGAAGCAAAACACAAATCTTCCAAGTTGGGGTAGCAGTGAGGATCTCACGTGTCGCTGGTGCCGGTGCAGTGGATCACGGGAAATGCATACCAACACAATCCTTCCAATTGTTTTGCTACATTCTTCATCTGTACAGTTCATAAATAGATTCGGTTGGAAAATCAAATTAAAGGGTGTGAGTGTGACAAATACAACAAATACTTTCCAGTAACAAAAAAAAGAAACATATATATATCGCCGAGGATTGTTTACGATCCCGTTGCCATCCTTGCGTGCTAAATGTGTGCTCTTGCACGTTGGCACCAAGCCACGCTATCTCTTTTTTATAAGCAGAGGGAATTCAGGTATGTTTTCATTTATCCAAAATGATGCTACTATTTGTTAGCGGTGGTGCAAACAGATCATTGCTTTGTTGGTCCAGTTTACGATTGGATGATTAGAAGCATTAGATAGTAGTGATAGGGATAAAGCTCTAAGAAAAATGGCTTAAAGCAAAAATACTCATGAAACAAGCTACGGAAGAGTGAATTTGTTTATAAAATACAAGTTACAGATTGTCATGGTCACGCAACTGTTTGTTAGTGTTTATGCAAATGGTCATTTTTTTTTCTTTCATTATGCTTTGAATGGATTACTACTAACAACACCATTGAATTGCAAAACTGGATGATCGCTAACGGCATCATTAGTTTGTAGTGACAATATGTTCTATCTACTGAAAAATGAGCTGCAGTGACAACGATGAAGCTGAGCCAAAATGCAGAATACAGTGACATTTTTTCAGTTGGTCAGCATTTATCACCTCCCTAATCATATCATGTTGGTCAAAAATTTGTGAAAGGAAGCATAAATAAATCAAGAAAGAAATGTTCTTCATAGATCAACTTAAATCAATGGTGTGATAATATATATGTTTGGAACCGACCAAACTTCATAGATCAATTTATCAAAAGATATTATTCGCAGTGATCACGTATGGTGATGATGGAGAGTTGTTCGTAGCACATACATTTCAATTATAGTCATCTTTTCACATCCCCATGCATGTGTACTAACAAAACAAGTAACGTTTCAAAAATTAAACATGGCATTCATTAGCAGTACAACAAACTAAACCTCATTGATCCCCAATTGATTACATGGGATATATTTCTTATCTTCATTAACAGAAGCAAGAAAAAAAGAGGTAAAATCCTGGTTCTGTAGATGCCATATTTAATGTATACAAAAGAGATAAAATCCACATAATATTAACCTGGATTTGAGGATTGCTGTAAATGAAAACGACTGCATCTCCATATGGCCTGACAAAAGGAAAATAAAAACATTGTTGCTCCATGAACAAAAATCCCCCATCGCCAGCATTCACAAAAATGGCATGAAAAAATTGACAGCAAGAAATGGAGCTTACCTGCACCTCAATCTACACGGCGTAATCCTCATTCGCATGTAGCAATCAAATTAGGCAAACCAAGCCTTCAGCAGGTGGGTTGGAGGGAACTGTTGCCTCATGTGCTGATTGCATCGTGGACGACCTGCTGAAGAGACAGGACATCTGATGGAGATCACTGCCAACACAAACTTCAGTTCATTAAGCCTTCCATAAGCATGGAAAATATCATTCAAAAGGATAAAACATTGAATTGTTAATTATGAAAGCAACAAACAATCAACCTGAGATTTGGCCACTAGATATAAGCTAAGGAAAATAAAGTACATTCACTTAGAACACAAACTTTGATGGTTAATCTACAGAAAAGTGAACATCTATAGAAAATAATCAGGATTGATACATGTTGTACCTATGTTGCGAAATATTTTGTTTTCAAATAAACTGCATGCTACTTCCTCCGTTTTACAATGTAAGACTTTCTAGCATTGCCCACATTTATTTAGATGTTAATGAATCTAGACATATGTATGTGTTTAGATTCATTAACATCTATATGTATGTGAACAATGCTAGAAAGTCTTACATTGTAAAACGGAGGAAGTATATTTAAATTGCGTACCTAATTATTGATTAACCCTATCTTGGTATTGCTTACCTTTACCTTGATAACCATGGATATATTAAAGCCCGTAGTCAAATTATTGACACATGCCTAGCCATGTGATAATGTGATTTGGGAAGATCGCTATGGTAGCGACTATCTTGTGAGACACATGTGAAGTTGTTTATGGAAAAACAAAACTTAATCACAACAAGAAGATTTGTTTGGATTCCAGCAAAGGCTAGTGCTGACCCTGGTTAGTTAAGGACTGAGTTAGAAAAATAGGAAGGAAACGATCTAAGTACGAGCGTATCTTCCTATATGGGCATATGGGCATAGACCTAGAGGATTATGGCCACCATAAGATTGCGGTACCTTAGCCATTTGCGCCGTCATTTGTACTGTTCTTAACTAGACTTATATACTTTTTATTGACTTAGGGCGTGAATGGGAATGGATGAATGGTGGGACTAGCCAGGGTTAGTGTAGGGTCCAATGGCAGAAATATAGATAAATGTGCCTGGGGATAAACCGAATCAAGTAAGACTTAGGAATGTGGACGCAACCCTCAGTGAATGGTTAAACAAGAAAACTTACCGTTGTTTTCTTGTTAGAATGGCTAGGTCAAATGTTTGTTAAAATATTTATGAAAGCTGGTTTTGAGCAAAAGAATCAAGCCCTTTCTTAAATCCAATGTGCATTAATCATGTTGCAGTGGTAGCTTGCAAGTACTCTATGTACTCACATAGCTATTTTCTCCCTTTTTAAACATAACAGTAGTAGAAGAGGGAGACTCTGCCAACAATATGCCATACTCAGCAGATGATCAGAGGGCTCATCGAGAAATAGGTCCTGCCCCTAATGAACTGCCTGTGGGCATGTCGCTTGGGCCTATTACTATTTTGGTTTCCGCTACTACTTATCTGATAGGATAAGACCCTATTGGTCCTTGTAAAGATATTAAACTATTTTAGCCTAAATTCATTTTGAAATTTTCTACTAGCTATAAATGTGTATACCAACTTTTAATTCAGGGATTGATACAAGAAAACATAGTAGGTTTTTGTTGTTCAAAACTAGGGCTAATAGTGTAGGTGGCTGATAATAAGAAAAAAAATCAAATGGATTGATAAATAGCAAAGCTGAAAACGTACAATAAAAAATGGTAAAGATATTTTCCAACCGAATCAATGCTTCTTTAACCCCTGTTAACACGATCGATCTAGCATAATTCTAGCTGGCATCACAGCCCAGACCCCCAGACGATGCAAACACCCAGTGCTGTCCAAGCTGGCCATGTGAACGGCTCGAGTATTTAATTTCCCAAATCGGAAAAAATCACAAACGGCAGCATCCTGTCAGAATCGTCGCGATGCAACAGGTTTCGTCAGATCGTAGTAATGGTGTGGCTCACGTCCCATTCTTTCATTTCCTCTGGTCAGCGTGTCGCGAAGGTGAGATTGGTGGCGCCGGCGAGCCACCGGCCGGACTGCTCCATGACGGCCACCATGCCCTGGCACTCGTGCAGCACCATCTCGTCCAGGCCAGCCTTGATCATGGCCGGGAAGAAGAGCCAGAACCCCGTCCCGGCCACGAACGCCAGAGTCAGCGGCACGGCGGCCGCGCGCGGCGGGCGCCACCACCCCGCGTGCCGCGCCCACCACGCTTCCGCGGCCGTGCACACGCCGTGCAGGAGGAAGAACACGGTCACCTCGCCGCTCGGGGGACGCCACATGATGTAGAAGAACATCGCCTCGTGCATGAGCCCGGAGACGAGGAACGCCGCGAGGACGCCAGCCGCGTCGCCGAGACGCGCCCTCACCGGGCGGTACACCGAAGGCCGGAGGATGGCCGGCACCATGAGGTTCCACCGCCTGCCCCAGAAGTCCCGCAGCGACGACGCCAGGTACGGCCGGTCCACCTGCGGCTCCATCTCCATCCCGAGCACGCCATGGATCAGCCCGTGGACGACGGCCAGGAGGAGCTGCAGGGAGAAGTAGATGTGCCCGGTGTAGAGGATGAGGAGCTGGTACCGGCTCATGGCGTTCTTGAACTGGTACGTGTAGATGATGAGGGGGATGACGGCGCCGGAGACGAGGATCTTGCCCGCCGCGCTCTCGTTGGCCGGAGCTGGATCTACACCTTTGGCCGGCTTGGCGGATGCGAGGTGCCGGAGCTTGACGGGGAGGGAGGCCGAGAAGACGAAGTGGTGGAGGGGATGCGTGGGGTTGAGGGGCCCTCGGCCCGCGGCGAGTAGGAGCAGCTTGAAGACGCCGAGCCAGCTGAGGAAGAAGGCAGAGCAGCCGCGGAAAGTGGTGGTGGAGAAGGAGAAGGGGACCACGCAGAAGAGCGCGACTACGGGAAGGAGCGCGGCGAGGCGGGGAGCGCCGGGGCGAAGGCTTGCGGCGGCGAGGCGGGCGTAGAACATTGCCGCCCACACCGCCGCAGACACCTTGACGAGGCTGCCGAACTCGCTGTCCATCACAGCCGTGGCCATTCGCTCGCAGACGGTCGACAGAACGCCACTCCCTTAGATTCATACAGTAGGCGGCGATAGCAAAATATATCACAATTTAAAACAGGAAAGTTGCAGCTTTTTTTTTTCCAAAGGTTTGCACTTCACTTCCAGTAAAGCTTGCTGTTTCTTTTTTCTTTTCAAAAAATTGCAAGTTGAGGCTATGCCCCCGTTCAACATCTGATGACAATGGATTAGTAAGAAAAATCAAATGATTCTTGAATGGCAAAAAAATGTATAAATATGACTATCCTATTCGACATAGGCAGGCAATGTGACTAACACTTTCCCATCTCAGTAGCCTCCGTATAGTGCAGCAGTCACAATTATTATTATAGATTTTGGAAATCGGCAGACCTAAAATTAAATGGATGTAAAGACAATAATTTAATCAGATCCAAACACTTTCGATGAGAGGTAATACCTTACTCATGATTGAGGAAGTCCGATAGTATCCATCGGTTGTATATTGATCTAACGATTTGATAGTGCTTATCTCGCTATATGTTCTTGGAGGGCTCCCTATCCACCTTATATAGGTAGGGGATAGGGTTACAAAGAGAATCGAAAAACCTAATCGGATTTGGTATTAGTTTGCTAATCTATTATATGATAATCCTCACTCGGTACTCTAGGTCCTGCCATAGAACACATGGTAACATTGCAACCGAGTCCTACTCTATATAATACATGGATCTGGCCTATCACCTATCTCTAATCGAATATGGAGGTTGTATGAGTACCTAGTATCCATATTCTCCACAGTAGCCCCTGAGACCTTGATAATCGAGTTGCAGTCTTCTCCTCCACAGTAGCCCCTGAGACCTTGATAATCGAGTTGCAGTCTTCTCCGTGATTCATAACCTATACTGACTACTGAGTGCTTCAATCTTCGATGCGAAGGCTTCTCGATTGATTACTTGCGTTTATCCAAAACAAGTCCAGATTGAAGGTATGATCCACGTGCTTGAGCTGGTAAGCTTAGAGCATTTTGCTTGTCCTTCTGTTGCAGTCATAGTTGCTCGTTGGAGAAGAATGATGTGGTCCGTATAGAGGTGAGATCACCAGTCGGCGGCGGCGAACAAATCAGTGCAAGCGATGCACAAGTAGTTAACGGTGGAGATGAGGCCCGTGAAGTAGAGGCACTTTTGGAATAACATACTTAACCTCATTCTCAACCCCTCTTTCCACAATCTACATTTTAGTCTCTCCCACCTTAGTATGCACTATACCCAATTCTACCATGCGTTTTAATTCAGCAGTAGAAGAAAAAATAGTGCGAAAAGAGTTATCACCATAATCTTCTACCTCCCATTTCCATTTACCTAGAATTAACCTTTTCAATTATGAGATCACATTCTTGACTGACATATGTCCTCTAGACACTTTGACCAATGCTGCTATGGGCTCATGCTTAATTTTTTGACCCGCTGGATATTGATTTTTTTTAACTGCATGTGTTGGAGATTTTGCTCTTCTTCTAAAATTTTTGGATGAACAGATCAACGGCATTTTTCTGTTGGAGATTGATTTTTTTTTCTGAACTGCATGTGTTCCTGTTGAACAGGGTAGTTGTCTCCGTTGTGCCGCTAGCTCCTTCGCATTGCACTGCATGGTGTCGCACTCCTCCGTTGCCATCGATGATGTGTTCCTGCGATGTATCCATCGTGGCAGCCATTGATTTTTTTAAATATTATAAGTGTCAGTTGTGTATGTAGAACTGGTACCTATAATCTTCATAAGTACTGGTTCTAGAACCGGCACCTATGCCAACGGGCACAGGTACTCTCAAGTTGGTATCAGTTGGGAAACCGTCACCTATAATGGGTCTCTAGCTGGTACCTATGGTGTATTGTGCAGTAGTGGGCACTCCTCCAGAAATTCTCGGAGAGAACTCCAATACTTTTGGGCACTCCATTCAGAGCTTCCCCTCAATGTCACTAATCCCACGTACTAAAGTGAAGTCTAAATTACGAAAGTGAGTTGTACTCTGTTGATGTTGGTGTGCTTTGGAAGTGAGTGAACCGCTCCTTTTATAGGGAGTTATGATGGTTGGGGAGGTCGGTAACTCCCGCAACCGTCATTGGGAGCCAACTAGAAAGCCACACGTGGAGGGTGGAGATGAGGGGCACCGTTTGAGGTTCGACCGAACCCTTGGCACTGCCTCTCTCGACCGTCTTTCGGACTAACATGTGGGCCCCTATGGTGGTAGAGGTTCGTTTGGCCCCACTTTAGGTTTGTTTCCATTGTCACGTGGGCCCTCCAATCCTTTTACTCGCGTGTGATTGGCCAGAGGTTCATTTTGTCGCATGGCAGGTTTATTTTCTCTCAAAATTACCTGCATAAATATTTTTACCAAGACTAGTTGAAAAGGTTAGTAGTGAAACCCTACCACTAAATTTTGATGTTATATTTGATATCTTTTATGTATGAGTTGACGGTTAAAGTTTATACTTAACGACTGTCAACAACACCCCCACGCTTATGCTTTAATCGTCCCTGAGTAAAGCTCATGGATCAATGTGGTAATGACTTCTGCTTAATGACACAACATATAGGTTATTCCAAGCTGTACTTGTGAACATGATGTGTCTACTATGTCATCTTGGCTGATTGAAGAATGGAATGGCCTTTACTCCTTCCGATAAATTACATTGTAGTTTTCTTTGAAGTTCATAAAAACATAACTTGTACTATACTCCCCAATTGATTCTCTCAAATCACTCAAAGTTTTTATTCCTAACCAAGGAATTCACATTGCCTTTTCTTATCCTACCTTCTAAAGGCTTCTGTGGAGCTAAGGGTAGGGAGTAAGAAATGACAGACTTGCATTAGATATATTATAAAGTCAAATTGAGGATCCAAGAAGATAACCAATCATATGAACATGACCAAAGTTATGCACTTATATGTGGATGGAATGGAATAGGGAGATGGATGATGTGAAATGGAATTATGACTCATTTTATATGATTCTCCTGTGTATACTTTATTTGGAGAACATGGCTATTTTCTATATCCTCTTTTTTTCATCATGCTCGAGAATATTGGCCAATTCTCTTTTGAGCATTTTGATTTTCTAAAAACTGATCATTTTTTTAGCTCATGTCTCATTTAGCATGGATAGGAGGATGGAGAAACATAGTCATGTGAAGTCTTTATTTGGTGGATAGATATGGTGGATGCCGACTTCCGGTGTAGAAGTTTAGCATCTGGTAGGTGGATGGCATATGTTGCAAGTCCTCCAGTATAGAGGGAGAGCAATATATTTTGGTGGATAAGTACACAGGACTTTGGTCGTGAAAATATGAAAGGAATCTAACAAAACTCAAAATGATGGCAAGTGGTATATGTATAAGGTTTATCAATGTGATCTGACATATGATGTTGGTAGGAAGGAAAACATCAATAAGTATGTAAAGTTATTTTTGTTCTTGTTATAAAACTCCCAAGTTTCCAACAGTAAGAGTGAGGTTCTTATTATCAGGCAATCTCTCATTCATCAATCACTTAGGTGACATGTGGTCCCATGAATGTGGTTCACAAGTAACAAGGGATGATCAAAGATTAAAAAGTAGGTAGGTCATTTTGCAGCAAGTCATATATTCCAGTTGATTATGTCAATACTCATTTTCATTCTTGAGTTAATTCCAAATATGGCAAAATTAATCCAACTGAATTAGGGAGATAAAGGGATGACGTGCAAACCATCGCTCAAATGTGAGTGTGATGATAAGCAGCCATGTATGCAAGGTTGCTACGTCTCATCTCGCGAACGTGCATGAGTCGTGGATTAGCACGGACGTGGATGATCTTGGTACGTGAATGCATTATGTGAGCACAAGGTCAACCCCACACTTGTTGTTGTACGTGGGGTGCTTCATAGACAGAAAAGACAACAAAAAATGAAAGCAAAGGTACTCATCCGGTGAAGCCCAGCAAATTTATTCTATTTCAACTTTATTAATGGCCACAATTACATGAAAGAATCGAAATAAATAAATGAAAGAATAAATTAAACCTAACTTATCTATCATAATACTAAGGATAACTGTTGACAGTGGTCATCGACCAATTTTGACCGTCAATATTACCCAATTAATGAATACTACCTATGCTTGCAATGCATAATTTCCAAATAAAATATCTACTTCCATTATATGCTATGCTACTAATAACATATATGTAGGAGAAGCACTCATAAATGAAGGAGAATAACCGAACAATCAATCGAAATCCGTCGAGTGGCAGACTTATGGATGGATGGGCTTACAAATCTATTAAAATAACTTCAAATAGGCCCAACCACCATATCACTGGACTAAGGATCCATTAAGAGATGCACCAGAGAAAATGTAGGCCGTTTGGGCCAGGCCAGGGTTCTGTCGAACCCCCAGCGTGGCCGTTGATGCTCCCTTTCCACGTGGACGCTTCAGATGATTTCCCAATGACGGTTGGAGGATGTTTATGACATTTCCAATTGCCGAAACCATCATTGGAAGGCTATAAAAGGAGCAGGCCTCACTCTCTCCAACACACACCTTGAAGCATCAAGTCCAAGAAGCTCTCTCTTAGTTTATATTCTAGCTTTAGTTAGAGTGGAGTTGAAATAGTAGGGTTCCGAAGTTCTCCAAGTCTTTTCGGAGGAATCGCCGTCATTGGAAGGCTATAAAAGGAGCAGGCCTCACTCTCTCCAACACACACCTTGAAGCATCAAATCCAAGAAGCTCTCTCTTAGTTTATATTCTAGCTTTAGTTAGAGTGGAGTTGAAATAGTTTACTCTTCCTTCATAAGACCTTATTATATAATAATATATTCTTCTTTTTATAGTTATAGTATTATGCTATATTTATATAGCTTAATTACTTGCTTTGGTATAAATTTAATATGTATTAATCATATGGGTAGCTTACCAGAGATACGCATTGGTATTAGTTTAATGTCCGACCATTCGGTTGCTCTATGTCGTATGCATGGATGGAGTAGTATTTAGTAATGTAAGCGTGATGCTTAGATTATTGGATACCATTAAATGCTATTATATGCCATGGGACAGTAGAGGTAGGCCGCTGATGGTGATAGCTCGGTATGGGTATTCCTCCACATGCGTATATAGTACTAAGACAATTTCCTGGTGTAGGTACTCCTCTGTATTCATTACCAGTTGGATGGCCATGACGAGTTGTCATAAGGAACTCAGCAACCAAGGGTGGTCTCTCGACATAACAGGAGGGCGTAGTTAAGGGTATTGGTTGTACGATTAGTGCATATTAAATGTATACTAGACAACTTTTTAATGAAGTACAGATAGGATTCTTTGCTAGTTTCTTTCCACTATACTAAGCTATTTCTTTTAGTATCAGAATAGTTTTTCTTGATGATTCATGTGTCAACCTACCCTTTTTGCATGTATATCATTAACCCCTACAAAGTCTTTGATCTGTCGTAGGCATGAAATGAAATAATAAAGTTCTCTCTTATAATCTCTTCCCTTGGGATTAAAAATACGATGCCTTGGGTATACTCCCGGGTGAAATACTACATCAGTAAATCCGTGCGCTTGTGGATTCATCTTTGTAAACGTAAAGAATTACCGCCCATATTTCTAGCATCATTGCTATGAATTAAGCTCCTTAGTAATGCTGTTAAGAAATATCAACAACAACTAGGGAATGTCTATGGGATATGATATGCACTAGGGTTCCTGATCTTCTGAAAGGTTCTGATAAACAACGATTTGGGCGGAGTCACGACACAAATCGATCCAGCTTCTTGAACGCGCACGCTCTTGAGCCCCGCAATCGCAGCACCACGTCTCCTCTGGTTATCACCCGTGTCGAAACGCAGATGACCTCGACGAGAAGGCTAATCCCTGTTTGTCAATCGAAGGACACAAACAAGAACAAGATAGAATACAACCAAAATTGCGGATGAATGATTAAGCTCACAAGTTGGGGTCTTACAAACCGATCTAGCGGCAAAACTGTTCTCAACAGAATAATGTAAGGAAAAACCGACTCTAAACGTTGACGGCTACTGAATAAATATGATTAGGGACATCCTAGGGTTGCCCTAGGGCGCACACCCCATTGGGCTAAGCCCACGACACAATTACAATGCCCAAAACCCAAATCAGATTCGGACTGGATGAGATACGTGGCTTGTTTTGCAGTTTCCCGGCAGCTCGGTGTGAATTTTGACATGGGACCAAAACCATCTGAAAGTAGACTCCATAAGCTTTCGAACAAGTAATAATAGGCCCCGAAATTCCTTCTAGATCAGTGGCTAGATCTGTTTGAAGTTGATGCTGTTAGGAGGCCCGAACCCGAATCCAAAACGTGTAGAACTTTATCTCTTGTCTTCTATGGACCAAAAGTGACATGGTGAGATGAAACAAGACTTGGAGAAGGTCTTGGCTTGGTCCCCAATCAACTTCTTCAATCATCCATGCATTCCTTACACTCAGTCTCTTTTCTTTTGCCCAAGCAAGTACCTCTGCAAACAAAAACACACAAAACTCATTGTGTAGCAACCTTTGGTTGATTAATACATAAGGTAGTCATGGTTATATTCCAGCTATTTGTGTCCTTATCAGGATAGGAGCACAGTAGAGGTCTTCCTTTCCTACGGCCTTGTACAAGTGAAAATGCTTGGCACAAAAGCCACGACGGAGGGACGCAAGGTCAACTCTAAGCTCATCGAGCTCGACCTTGTCCTTGGGCAAGGTGTCCTTTAGCCTCCTGTTCTCAGTGCGCAGCTGAGCAACGGTAGAGGCCAAAAGGCCATCGTGGACTCTCGTGGAGATTTTTCTCCGTTGCTCTCAAACTCCCCACCAACCTCTTAATTGGAGGTGGAGAAAGACACCATGTGATCGGTTGGGAGTCAAGAGAAACCTCTGCCTTGAGCATCTCACTAGGTGCCAACCCAGGGATTAGTACCTTTACACGGCCCACAGGCATGTTCATGCGAACCTGAAGCTTTGGCAGAAGGCTTGAGTAGGACATCTCGTCCCTACTAGGACCGTTGGCTCTCCCCTGATCCCTGAATCGGTGACCGCTGCAGCAACGGGCCCTTGGAACAAATGAATCACCTTTTTAGGGCCGATCTAGCCCGTTCTCAGCCTCTGGTAGGGGCTTGATGATCGAGCTGGGGTCCTCTGGATCCTCCTTGGCAAAGGTCAGTGCGTGGCCGAACGGTGGGCCGAGGAAAGCTGAGGTTGGTTTGGCTGAACCCTCCTATTCGCCTGCGAGCCCCTCGTCATGGTTGAGCAGAGGCAGGATCACTAGGGACTCCAAAACCCTTGGTTCACCCTCTTCAATCGGCGGGAACACCAGATTGGGATGGTGGATCTCCCGTCAAGATGGAATGTGGAATTGGAATTAGAAAGGGAGATAAATGCCTTCCTCGACATGGTTTTTGGTGGAGGAGATTGGACTGGGATTTGGCTAGGGTTCAGGAAGATGGAGGAAGAGAGAAGGAAGAAGGAAATGAATTGGCGGACGAGTGAAATTTCAGAAGTGTCGATTCACAATTGCCATCTTCTTTTTCTCCGTGACTCCATCGAGACTGGTAAGGGGGGCCACCAGCAGGTTCACAGGGCGAAGCCTAGTTCCAGGGGTTCAACCAAACCCCTTGTTGGTATTTCCTATTGTCATAGATAAAATCCACAAGCGCACTGATATACCATTGTAGCACTTCATTCGAGAGTATTCCAAGGTATCGATTTTCACAGGGAACGTATGTGCTCAACTCTTCTCCTGGTTCATCCAAGGACACAAGGGATATATAGGCAAATGATAGAGATGATTTCGTAGTGAGAAACAGAGTCTAAAGAAAGCTTTTTAATCCTACCGCAATACTTTAGGCACTGGCTTGATCGCTACTACTAAAACGTGCTCTACTCCGTACCCGAACAGGGTGGACTGAGGTGATCTTGAGGACTGTCACTACCTCTACACCAATCTCTAACATTTTGTGGGATACGTAGCAATAACTGGAAATTAAAAACCTATACACCGCGTCTATGTAGTTTATCACTTCTTTAGTGTTATAACTCACCAAAGTAATCACTATCTATTAATGATCAATAGTAAACAATGATCCAGTACGCTAATAGGAACTAACTAAGAGATAATTCTCACAAAGAAAATCTTAATTACTCAAGAAAGATATTCTCTATTAATGCAGAGTACTTAACGAGGTACAAAAGGTAAAGAGGAAAATACCGACAGCTCCGGAATTCCTACGACTCTTTCTCCTTACTCTCTCTCTAATCTAGTGTACATAAAAATACAATAGAGTCTCTTGTAATTCAGCTCAAACTTGGTGTGTGTTGAAATGGAGAGGGAGAGGCCCTTATATAGCCTCCGAATGATGGTTATGGCAGTTGGAATTGTCGAAAATGCCCCACAATCGTTATTGGGAGGTAATCCTGGATGTCCACATGGAAGCAAACGGCGAGGGGAGACCCTGGTCAGCTCCCGACCCATGGGCTTCCTCCTGGGCCTCGACAGATGATCTCTTGGCCTAGTGAGATGTAGATTAGGCTCAACTTCTAATATTTTAATGTGTGTATGAGCCAAGTTTTCTATGGATGGAATTTTCCTCCACTTTTGGTTGTATTTCCTCTCAACTTTGGTGGTTTATTACCTGGATATAATTATACACCAACACTCACGGAAATTGTTAGAATTAGGCCCTACCACTATGTTGGATGTTTAATAACTTATGATTTATGCAGGTATTGTGTAACATACCAGGAATTTCACCTAGGAAAAATTTTGAGGAAAATTTAAAACCTTTTGAAAGCTAAAGCATTTAAGAGCATAATAGTTGATCTTAGAGTTTAAATCCTGTAAATAAAATTAAAACATAAAGATTTGTTGGTCAAGATTTAAAGCTAATCCAAAATTAGATTTTATAAAATCTTGGGTTAACAAATCTCAATTCAAATAAGATGGTTTAAACTTTAAATAGGAATTTAATTCTTTTGGCTTTGCATTTCAACTTAAGCAAAATATTTTTGAGCTAAATGAAAACAAATGGAGATATAAGATTTAAAATAAGCAAAACTTAAGATGGAAGTAAGTACACTTGGTTGTATGTGCATTTTATTATTTTAGGTTTGTTTTTGAATGTTCTAATTGTTGCATCTCATAATAGGTTTCATAAGCATGTCATATCTAAAGAAAATTCCTAAAAATAAATCAAGCAACAACAAATTGCACCAAAATTCTCATAAATACTAAACAGCATCCTAAGTCTACAATAATTTTAGTTTGAATTTATCACATCAAATGGTATCCCAAATAAATCCTTCATCTCAGCTAGAAATCTGAAAACAGCATACCATTTAGCCTACTTTGCACCTTCACCAAAATTTAACCATAATTTATCTAGCTAAACCACTTGGTTAGAATGTTAACTATAGTGTACTCTACAACCTGGTGCAAAGGCTTAATAAAATTCGAAATAGAACCACATGAAATGAGAGCCACAAGAGTTGCTTAAACAATATTTAGACTGTAGTCAACATTGTAACTTAGGCATCTTTACTAAATTACCATGGTAACTCAAAGCGTAATTAAATCTTGAAATTTGTCACATTGAACCATCGAATCCTTATCCACCTAGCAGCAACCTTGTCTCCCCAAAATTCTAAACTAAATGGAAGAAAGGAGAATGAAATAAACCACATGTTGGTATAGTTTCAACACTTAGAAAATTTAGAGCTTCTAGGCCTCTTCTTCTATTTCTCTCTCTTACAAGTGGGACCTAACCATAGTGGGACCCATATGTCATCCTCATCACAGCCAACACATCATCTACACACCTCTCATTTATATTATCATTTATTTTTCTAAAGGTGAGAGAGAGGAGGGTAAAAATACAACTCTCACCCATATATCTACCTTACCACTCATATGAGCCTAGGATGCATCCACATGGACCCACTTATCATCCACATACCAGCAAACATCCTTAGTTAGACATTCTTTTGATTTATTAACAAAAGAAAAAGAGAGAGGGAGAGTTAAAAGTCCAATTCACACTCAAGAACACACCCTACGTCTCATATCTACCTAGGAAATCACTAATGAGACCACTTGACAGCCTCTAGGGCTAGCTTGGGAGATGTAGACGAGATAGCACCGCCCTCAACCCTTGCCAACTCATTAAAATCGTGTTACAGCCAAATGTTGACACCTAACCCCTCCCTTCCAGCTCAACATCCATCACTTAGAGTGATACTTCGCCACAGTGATTTCTATCCATCCTTCATCGTGTTCCACTAGGAAAAACACCAAGAACTTTCTCGGAGGAACCCAGAACACTCTTCTCAATCTTTAACCCGAAGATGTTTGATCCATTTCTTGTCTTCTCTGGTGATCTTAGGCGCATTTCATCCATGGAAACGTGATCTTCTACCTCTACCTGATCCATCTGTGTGTGAAATCTCATTTTGCACAGGTCGAACACCCTGCGTCGAGCTCATCGTCGCTCCCGACGTCGCGATGCCGTTCCCGTCCATCCGGTGGGTCTCTGGCCGAACCACTGCGCCATCATCATCACAAAGGTTCCAGAAAGCTGCTTACTGAAGCAATCGACCCAAGACACCGCCGTTGAAGAGATCGCCGTCGTCTTCCTCAAGTCCGGCTACCGGCTATCGTCGTCGAATCCTTGCATCCGAGTGAGTTTCGGCGCATTTCCTCGCTCGTGTAGCATCCTTAGGTTTTCTTTGAGCCGTTCAACTACTCTTCTTGGCAGGCCGAAGCATGGGGAGTGGTCGTCGCCGTCGCTCTGCCATTCTTTGCCGCCGCCGGAGTACTTCTAAGGTCGCCATCGCCGTCCATCCATCACCGACCTACAGGCGACCTTCCGTAAGTCTCCAGGAGCATCGTAATCACACATGCATGCACCTTAACGCACAAATCCTCACTAGAAATTGTCATGCAAACGCAGACTAGTGGTCACCGCCGCTCGCGCTGTTTCCGGCATCCATCCCGGCCATCTCCGGCGACAAGACGAACATCGTCGGATGCGCAAGAGCCTGGTGCACTTTTCTCCTTTTGGGTGCGACGTCAGAATCCCCGCCGTTCGCCGCCGACGTCGACGTCAAGCCCGCCGGCCGGTGAAGCTCTGCTGCTGCTGCTGTTTCCTCCTCTGCCGAGCCTATGACAGGTGGTCCCCACTTCATTAAGCATTAAGAACTGTGATTAGAAATAGATCAAAGCATATGGGGTTCTATTTGTAAATAACTAGAGCATGACATGTGGGACCTAGACCTAATTATAAATACATAAAACTTTGAGTAGTCTTAATGAAGATTCAATTAAAACGAGCTAGGTACCTCGGGACCTATTCCTAGAACCTCGAGGGACCTTTCTGCAAAAAATATCTCACTGACCAGTGGGCCCTATGTGTTTAAAATCTGGAAAATATAAGGAAAATGCCTTAGTGAATACCTAATCAACAGAAAAATAGGTTAACTTGTAAATTCCATATAAAATTCATTTTAGCTCCAATCTGGATGAAATAAATTTCTGTAGAATCACCAAGTTATGAATCTTAATATGGAAACATAATACTTGGCACTTGCAGTAGAAGAAATAGCTCTAATAATTCACATAATAAATAATGAACATAGAGCAATCTTCAACTTAGAAAATTCATATAAAATTCATCTTAACTTAATTTGGAGTGAACCAAATTCCAGTGTGCTCAAAAAATCATACACTTGATTTACATGAACTAAAACTTGATACTTTCTGTATTAAAATCATCACCAACTATTTAATTGGTAAAATAACTAGTATAGTGTAAACTAGAAAATATAAAACCCATAGGTGATTTATTTCAACTCCAAATGAGGTGATTTCAGTTCTGTTAGATTGGCAAAATCATGAACTTAGTTTTGATGAAATAAAATATGACACATACAGTACTCAAAACATATATAAAATTCGAAATAACTAATAAAGACTATAGCATATGACCTAGCTTGTAAAATTCATAATAAAATCATGCTAACTTTAAAAATTGTGAAACCAACTTTGTTGAACTCCTGTGAGCATCCCCTTCACGGCAGCAAGACAACATTTCAAAAAACTTAGACCTAAAATGCACCTAAGGACTATTAGAGGTTAATTAATCTAGAGCTAGTATTAAAATTTGAAAATTTATAACTCTCTAATGCAAAGTGATAAAATATAAATTCTTTCACCTAAATTCATCTTAGACCAGTACCTAACCACACTAGTAAACTCATGCATTTTAGATCATTTTAGATTTTTACATGTTTTGTTACTGTTATTTCTTTTAGAAGGTGAAATCGATACCGGTAAAGGCGATGGATTATATCTAATTTCAATGAGGTCATATATCCTCCAAGGCAAGTGTTGCCCTTCCTTTGAACACATTGAATCCCATGTGTTCGGGCTAAATGTTTTGATTATAAATTTGCATGCGTATTTCTAACTATCGGTACTTGTAGTTCTACCTTTAAAAGATGCATGAATCCCGTTTTTGAAAATCACTTCCTTGCTGTTTTGAACCTTAGGATTAATTAGTGTACTTTGATTGTGCTCATATAACTATACTATGCTTTTATAAAGTGCAAATGCTTAGCCTTGCTTAGTGATAAACAGAAACATGGTTATGAGTCACTTGATATACTATTTGGAACTCCTTTTTAAACATTATGTTCAGAGTTAATTCTCTGATTATTTTTGAAATAAAATGAGATAAAATGTGATTTTAGACTTAGACGGCAAGTGGTATGCATATGGTAGTAGTTGCATATCGATAGGGGGAGTGTTCGCCTGAGTCGATTAAGGACCGAACATCATATCACCCATTATGTTTACCGTACATCAACATGTGCTAGTATGGGATGGCCTAAGCTGATTAATCTATTTAGGACTAGCCTTGCATTCTGGTACGCAGGTGTGTATGAGTTAGGGTGTGTTTAGTTGGGTTTTTCAACCTGCTTTTGCTTTTGCAAAAGCCAAAAGCTAACCAAAGGGCCCAAAAGCCACAGCTACTTTTGCCCAAAGTCAGCTTTTGGTATAGTACAAATCAAAAGCACCTCTACCCTATGCTTTCACCTTCTTTTGGGGGAAAAAATTACCCACCTCTGCCATTATGAAAGAAAACGTGTTCGCTAATCTATTCCCGTCGCTTCTCACACGCGCACACCAGTGGTGATGGAGCGCCGCCTCTCCCTTCCAGCCGGCCGGCCGCCGCACTCCCTTCCCGACGCCGACGCCGCCTCCTCCCCGCTCGACGCCAGCGCCGCCTCCTCCCGACGCCGCCGCCTCGCCTCCTCCTACCTGTCGCCGCGCCGCCTCCGACCCCTCCCGACGCTGGCGCCACCTCCTCCCCACCGACGCCGGCGCCGCCTCCTCCCCGCCCGACGCCGGCGCCGCCTCCTCTCGACGCCGATGCTGCGCCGCGTCCTCCCTGCCCGACGCTGTTGACGATCGTTATCGATCAGTTTCGACCGTCAATATTACTAAAACGTATTACTAAAACAGGAGAGAACTAGTGATGCTTGCAATGCATATGTTTGTTAGAATAATAATATTCCACTAGTATTAGGTCTACTAACCTTTTGCAGAGAATGACAATAAAGTGGAGGAGAATCGACATCAACACAAACGATAATCAATCGGACGATGTCGAGAACCAGACTTATGTATGAATGGGCCAAGAACTCAGAATTGACACAATGAATTGGGCCAAAATTCACAAGTCTGCGGAGTGGAGCAATAGAGGAAGTCGCCAGCCGAAGATGGGCTGGTTTGGGCCAACCCATGGTTCGGCCGAACCCCCATCTCCACCGTTGAGGCCAGGGTTTGGCATGGACGTCCAAGATTGCACCCCAATGACGGTTGGAGGGTACTTCGGACAATTCCCCTTCCACAACCGTCATACCTACCTGTATATAAGGAGCTCACTCTCTTCACTTCAACACACACCTCAAGCAAGAGCTCTCTCATTCCTCTTAAGTTTAGTTTAGTAGTATCTAGCTGGTGAAATAGAACTAGAATAGGAATCAGGAGTGCGGAAGCCTTCGGAAGAGTTCGGGTATGGCTCTAGTAACTTTCCTTTCCTCTTATGTAAGCTTTGTACTTTTATTATAATACTCTTCTAAATACATTTCTGGTATTGGAATACTTTCCGAGTATATGAGTACCTACTTTACATTATGTTCATGTTATGCTGAATATACTGCTAGCTTATCTGGGAGATGTTTTGGTGCGGGTATAGTGTTTGCTTATGCAATTACTCTATGTCATGACGATGATATTAGAGTAGTATCTGGTAGTTTAGATGTGGTGTCTAGATTACGGAATATCATTATTTGGGGTTATATATTGCAGATGAGAGGTGGGCCGATGATGGAGACAGCTCAGTACGGGTATTCCACCGCGCCTATATATAATCCTAAGTTAATTTCCTAGGGAGGGTATTCCTCCGTATTTAGCCCTGGTTGGATGGTCATGACGGGCTGTCCTAAGGAACTCGGCAGTCAGGAGTGGCTTCTCGAAGTACCAGAAGGGCATCGAATAGAGGGTATTAGCTAGTATACCAGTTAACTAGAATGTATGTATTCCATGTGTATTAGAAGTATAGGAATAGATTCTCTTTTTCTTTTCTTTCCACCTAGCTTAGATTCATTATTATGAGGATGAGTAGTAATGCTTGTGTGTCACTCTACCCTTAGATTATCTTACCCTGCTTAGAATATGATTATCACAAGTAATATATAAGTTATTAGTTGAGTTCTCTCTACATGATCTTCCCACGGGATAAAATAAATACGATACCCTTGGAATACTCTCGGGTGAAATGCTACAATAGTATATCCGTATGTTTGCGGATGAACTTTGTAATCATAATATACCAGAAGTATTTCTAGTAATATTGTTAAGAAATACCAACAAACATTTCTGGCGCTGTTGCCGGGGAAGATTCATGATAGAGATTAATTGAACTAATACTTTATATTTACCTCTGTATAATCATTTTCCTTTGCAGGCTAACCTTGGTTGTTTTCACTCTTGTGAAAACAGGGTAGTGCATGACTGGTTTCAACCTGCCGGAAAACTTCAAAGAAAATCCAGAAGCTTTCTTCCGGAGCGTCAGGCCGCGAGTCGTTGCTCCACAGAAAACTCTACCGATAGAGAAACCAGCCGTACCTGTGGACACCCCGAGTATTATACCATCCAGTGTCCAACACGACCACCACATACTATTGGAGACGTGGGATCCATACACGCATAAATAGCCACTCATCCTCAATGTGTCCATGATCGCGGTTGATAACCTTCTGTTATAATAACCGGAATGTCGAGTAGTGAGCGCAAGACATAACCGTAAGATAGCTTGCCAGTCCGCACCGTCATATGCCCATCAACCACTCGAAGGTGGCGACCAAAAGCATACCCTAGTGACTCGATCCAAAGCGCTATCCCCGATTATCTCAAGCGATCAAAACCCGTTACTCATGCTTAGCTAGTCCCCAGGAATACGATTAGCCTCACACTTTCATCGCAAGCAATTAATAAACATAGCAAGTACCATAATAGGGTTAAAGTGCAGCGAGGTACATGACACATAATAGGGTCCGAGGTCCCAATATACAACACATAAATATAGCAGTGGAAGTCTCAAATAGAGTTCATAAGCAAAAGATAAAACTGGTGGTGCCAAACCCCACTAGGGCAACCAACCAGGCAAGAGCCAAGCTGCAAGATATCACTCATTGCCCTCGCCGCCTTCGGCAGAGCAATGACCACACAAGAAGCATAACTCATAATCGGAATCCTCTCCTGAAATTGCAGACACCAGATTAAGTACAAGATTATACTCGCAAGTCTTACCCAAAATTATATATACAAAAGGGAGAGAAGTATGCAAGCTTTCTAGCCTATAGTGGGTCTCTAGGTTCAACATTTGCATAAAGCTAATTTTATTGAGCAATTAATGAGTAAAATAAGCAAGGACAAGTAAATCTAGCATCATTTTAATTTATGGACAGCAAGTATATAATTCTGAAATGTATAAGCAAATGAGCCCAAACGGCACTCTCATCATCAACCATGGACTACCAAAGTCCATACCAACATGGCACAACATGCCAACACCACCATCAAACATAATCCCATCCATAATAATCCACATTTGATGCTAACATGAGTGAGATACACATCAAGCAATGTCCATAACCGAGGACGCGGCTATTCGAATAGATTATACTCTGATCAGAGGTGTCCAACTGGACCCACACGAAATGAACAAAGTTCAAATGCTACGCACCCCGTCAAGTGCGGTACACAAGTGATTCAAGCTCATTACATGCCCTTCTTTAGCCCCACCCTAACCACCTATACCACGTTGGGGTTCCCAACGACTCAGTCACGTGTGTGCGTGATGTGACCAAGGCGGGCGCGCCACGCGGGAGGCACCCCCGGCCAAACCTAGGCACCCGAGGCCCTCCAAAGGCTACCTGCCTCACGACTCTCCAATGTGGTATAAATGATCACAGTAGAACTAGTAAGAACAAGCCGGTCCCAAATAAGGCATGTGGTAAGTACGTAGGGTGCTTGATTAGATGTCAAAATGTTCGGTCCTTAGCGACCTAGACGGGGCTACTTGTATCAGGGGAAACCAACCTCCCATCATCGCCCTATCACCCGTCCAAGTCCAACATAATTCATTAACCATTATTTAGTGTAAGTGCTCAAGTTTTATGCCCAATAATGCAAGTTGTCTATATACCACAATTAATAGCACTGTCCATCCCTATAGTTCTATTAGCACTAAGCATGGCTAAGCATTAATGAATAAGACATCCCAATTAATCCCAACTAGTGGTAATAGGGTATAAGGACAGCAATATTACAAGAACTAAATGCATAAATAGGTTCTTCCCATACACCATAAACCGACGATATTAATATCTAGGCAATGCATGCATATATATACGTATAGATTGCAACCAAATCATTTTTAGAGAAAGCATAGGTTCTATATGCTTAGGTGCTTGCCTTGCTGCTGAGGATAGTCACTATCCTCCTCGGGATATGGCTCGTTACTCTCCGGAATCTCCGAATCTATCGAAAAGAAGCAATATGCGAATAAGAGCCAAATAAACATGCACAAGAAAAATGATCAATAAATTATGAAATAAATACAGTGGGTAGATCATATTTTAACTTGAATTTAGTTGAAATAATCACCAGATTATCACTTATAGTTTGGGAGATATGAAAATGACAATCTCTCAGGTGCTGAAAATGGTAGTTCTGTAGATATTAACGTTTCCTTTAGTACATTACAAGTAAAATGCATTTCAAACCAAGATTTCATAATAATGATTATTTTTAGAGTAAAGTACATCACTCACAGCTCCTAAGAAAAATTATTTCACAGCTATATGTGTTGTCATTATTAATTTATGGATTTTACAAGTTAAAAACATAGGAATGCTAAACAAACTCCTAAAGATGTTTTAAGAGGTAGTTTTTCCAAAAACAACACCACAACAGCAAAGAGTACTAAAATATAAGCTCAACAAAATTGGTTTCACAATTTTAGCTTTTACCAATAATTTCTTACGAATTTATTAAGAGCTAGACCACACAAGGGATACATATAGCTATTTATATTTTTACTGGGAAAACCAGTACAAAAGTTGGTCATTTTTATTTTACAGCATTGAAGGTCATGTTTTTCTTAATCCACAGAAATTTGGTTAACTGAATTCGGAGTTCATATGAATTAGTTATGAATTTTTAAAGCGCATACCTCTTTCAGCTCAAAAGCTATCTCAGAAATCGATTTCTATTTTCACTCCCCTTTTCTCCAACTTCCACCGGACTTCGCTCACATCGCAGCAACCTGGACGTAGGGTCATGCGAGGCTAAGGCCTCGGGCTAATGGCAAGAGATGGAGCAAGGTCTTGGGCTGACGGCAAGAGACGTTGCCTAGGGCTGCTTCAACCGAAATCAAAAGAGATGAACTCGGGGTGAGTTGTAGCCACCTTCTACCTGCAGCAATGGAGTGGACAACCTATAGAACGTTGCTATAGATGTTCAACATGGAGGGAATTCAAAAGAGGCACCATGGATGAAAAGGAAGCTCACCAAATGGAGGAAAACAAAATGCTGCTGCTGTAGCCCTGCAGGCTGAAACCACCACTATTTTATTCCTTCTTGATCTCTCTCAACTCTTCATGCATGTGCAAGATGTTGGGATGGATGGAAAGCTTGGATGATGGGGATTATTGTGGTCTAACATACAGAGCTTGAGTTTGGGTTCTTAGATAGGATTTGGGGAGGAGAAGTGAGCTGGGAGCTCAGCTTGAGGAGGAAAACAAAGAACAAGCAAGGGAAGGGAAAGGGGAGGAAGAAGGGGTTTTTTTCTCTGCCCACCTTATGTCCTGAGGTGGGGTGAACACCCAAGGGTGGGTTCTGGGATAAAGAGGCACCCAAGGTCTGTGACAAGTGGGCCCAAGTCGTGGTGGTCTAAGAGGTAAGGACGGGAATAGAGGTGGAACAAGAATTTGGGTAGATTTCAGGAATTTTCAGCAATTTTACACCTCTTCCACCATGACACTCAGTTAGCTCAAGAAATAATAGTGATAGAATTTTATCCTTTTGTGTGGAGATAGACCTAGACACCTAGTTTTCATTTTTCAAAGTTTCACTAAAAAATTCGAAATATTTTAATTCTGGTGAAAAGATGAAATTGGTTAGGCTGAAAGTTGGTTTGAATTTTTAGAAGGCCAAAACAGAGAGTAAAAATTCCACAAAATTTATATTTGTTGGTGATAAATAAACTAGTATTTGAATAAATTATTATAAATTTACACTTCTGTTCAAGTTATTGTTCAAATAGAAGTTGCTTCATTTTGCCAATTAGGTTTCTAATTAATTTAGTTTGACTACCTTGACTGCTTTACTTGAGGTAGTAAAAAGTTTGATAAAATCACGAAACCTTCATAGTGGTTAACTTAGGTTGACCGAGTGACAAGAGGATCTTCATGGATTTTATGTTGCTTAGATTTGTTACATAGCCTCTAGGTTTATTTAACATGTATCAACCAATTATGAACAACATAAAAATCACTACAACAAGTACACAAGCACACAATCACTAGTTACTAATTCTACTAGCCAATTGCTAAGCATGATTGGGTAGATTATCCAAAGAGCGAAAGATTAACGACTATACTACAACGTTTCTTAACTACCGCTTGACCATTTAATTTGGTTATATACAAAGAGGCTTAGACAAAGCTTAGAAGCTAAAAAGTAGAAGACAACAAAAACCAGAGCTTCATGGATTATCAAGCATTGAGTCAGCTTGGTCTCTTGAAACAATGTTCCCCTCGTGGAAGGGAACACAAATTAGTCGAGCTACTCCTCGAAAGTGTTGTATATTTTATTAGCGCCAAAACACTCTCTGAATGTTGGACGAGTCTCTAAAAAAAATAGTTTTTGTTTATCTACCAAAAGGTTGTAGGGTCATTAGCCTACCTATAATGATCACTAAAGTTTCATATTAACTCAAACCAACAGTTTGGAAAAATGGTTTCAATTTCTACCCATCTTTTTTTATACACAAATTAACCGGATGAGGTTTTGAACCCAAATAGCTTTAAAACTTCCAACTTTTACTAAGGACAAATCCTGATTTCCACTTAAGTTGATTAATTAAAACTTCAGGATGTTACAGTACCAGCGCCACCGACCTTCAAGATTATGGCCAGCAAGACTCTTCGTGAGTTCGCTGCTCCCTGTGCTGACAATGTGGCCGTCGGGCCACAAGTCAACATAGGAGATGTGGATTTCGACTTGAAGTCTAGACTCATCACGATGGCGCAGGATAGCCCGTTCTGTGGCAAGCCTAATGAGGATGCCAACCTCATCTGCAGCAATTCCTAGAGATATGCAGTATGTACACCATCAAGGGAGTCAGTCCTGACGCCGTTAGGCTGCGGCTGTTTCCATTCTCCCTCCTCGGGAGAGCGAAGCAATGTTTCTATGCCAACCGTGCTGCTCTACGGCTCTACGGCCAGCAAGACTCAACACTTGGGATAAATGCTCTACGGCATTCCTCTAGAAGTTGTTCTCGATGGGCAAAACCAACGCCCTTCGTGGACGAATTTCCAGTTTCCAGCAGACAAGGGACGAGTCCATTCCAGAAGCATGGGAACGACTGCAGGAGTACGTGGCCGCCTGTCCTCATCATGGGATGGACGACTGGCTGATCCTGCAGAACTTCTACAATGGGCTCACCCCGATGTCCCGCGATCACCTGGACGCGGCAGCTAGAGGAGCCTTCTTCTCTAAAACGGTTCAAGGAGCCGTTGAACTCATGGAGAAGATGGTCTCCAATATGGGTTAGAGCGAGGAATGACTCCAGACCCGTCAGCGAGGCATGCACACCGTCAAGGAGACGGAGTTACTTGCTGCCAAGCTGGACCTCCTCATGAAACGATTGGACGACCACAAGAAACGGCCACAAGGCACCGTCAAGGCCTTGGACTCTCACATCAAGTGTGAAGTCTGCGGCGTCACAGGTCATTCTGGGAACGACTGCCCGGAAACCCGTGAGGAGGCGATGTACATGGGCGTGCTTTGTTGAAGTGATCCAAAAGATCCACATTAACGTGCCGTTGTTGGACGCTATGCAAGTGCCGACATATGCCCGTTATCTCAAGGACATACTCAACAACAAGAGACCGCTCCCAACAACGGAGGTGGTCAAGCTGACAAAACACTGCAGCAACCTAATACTCCACAAGCTCTCGGAGAAGAAGAAAGATCCGGGGTGTCCTACGATCAACTACTCGATCGGGGCACAACAATTCGACCAGGCCTTTGTGCGACCATGGAGCCAGCGTCAGCGTCATGTCAAAAGATGTCTTTGACAAGCTCAACTTCACGGTGTTGGCACCAACACCGATGCGCCTCCAACTGGCTGACTCGTCAGTCCGTTACCCGGTGGGGATAGTGGAGGATGTGCCAGTCAAGATACGGGATTTCTTCATCGCGTTTGATTTCGTGGTGCTGGACATGGACACGAGGAAGGAGACGCCGCTCATCCTAGGCAGTCCGTTCCTTAGCACCGCAGGAGCCAACATTGACGTGGGAACGGGGAGTATCCGTTTCCATATCAACGGGAAGGAGGCTCCATGGTCAGAATCAAGTACGGGCCAAACCCGCAGAACATTCAAGAGGTCGAAGTGGAGCCACCCAAGACGGATAGCCTGGTAAGGTTTATGCAGAACTTCCTGGAAAAGGAAACAACAATGCCCAAGAACCGTTATTGGAGGACGCCGGTAAAATCACCTGCACCGGCCAAGAAGTCAGAGCAGCCGGCTCAGAAGAAGCCGTCTTCTGCACCAAAATCAAAGAAGGTGTGGAGGAAGAAGCCAAAGACGCCCGCTCCATCACCTCCGGAGACGGGTGGAAAATCCGCGCACTGAATCAGAAGGAGGCACGGTCTTGCACGTTGGACTTTAGATGACGCAACCTTTGCCAACAGATAAATTGGTATGTATCCGCATATTTTCTTTCAACAATTTGAATTTTTGCATCATCATATATTTGAATTTCAAAATTGCATTTAGGACTTTTGAATTTCGAGGAAATTCTTCAAATGAATTTTTCAGAACAAACCAAAATTAAATTTTCAACGAAAATTCACAGTGCCACGCCCACACTGACCGTTGGATTCCAACGGCCGAAAGTGGGTCCAGTTGGGCCCACCAGGGGTTCGGGCGAACACCCTGGTTCGGCCGAACCGGCCAGGCAATGGTTGGCTGCCTCACTTTTTGAGGCAACGGCTAGTGGGTACCCTATAAAAGCCAGCCGGCCGAGAGAGGGAATTCCACCCCATTTCAACTCATTTTCATTCCCTCTCCAAAGTTTGCTCCCAAGTTCATTCATGCTTTGATAGTTTTCCTCAAGTTCAAATCTTTAGTTGCATACATACAAGTTGCTTTGGTGAAACTAACCAGCGGGTGAAACTCTTGTCATTTCTAACCCCCGCCGAGTTAGCCTATTCTTGCTCCATTTTGCAGTATGAGGAGGCGACTGTCTCATCTGTTCAAGGGGTCGGGCTCTCCATCAAGTCGTCATGACGAGTCTAGTACTCGTTCATCAGCCGATGCCTCGATGGAAGACGCCGACGCTCCGCGACAACTCCTGAGCGACGCTGACCTCGACCTTGTCAGTGATCGGGAGAGACAAGCCTACTACATGCTGAGCGACCGGGAGTATGCTCACACACGAGAATACTCACCGGAATTGCTGAAAAAGATAGGTATGGATGTTAAATTTCGTTCTATTTGGAAAGCTGTTGGTTGGCAGAGATTTGCTATGGTAGATGAGCCTGGTTCTCGTTTGCTTACTTTGTAATTTCTATGCACTTTGAAAAAAATAGAAGATGGTATTTCTTTTCGCTTTTTCCGTAAGGAGTTCACACTCACATGGAAATTCTTGAGTACACTTCTTGGTTTTCACAATTCCTGTAAAATCGATCTCTAGAAAGGAATTTCTAGGTTCGAGAAAAATAGGTTTTGGGAAGATATTTCTGGTGCTCCAATTTGCAAGAAATCTAGAACGAATGATATCCATAATCCTACACTTAGGCTCATGCACAAATGGATTGCTTTGACTTTGTTTCCTAGAAGTGATCTGAGACCCATTAGGAGAGATGAACTAATTATCATGTTTGCCATGGTTAGAAAGATCAAAATTTCTCCTGTGAAATGTATGATAAGACAATGGTTAGAAAGTATAAAGTTCTCTGCTCTTGTTGAGTGCACTTCTCTGATTACTCGGTTAGCAAAAGGGCTAGGAGTCGTTAGCAACCAAATTGCTTTTATCTCAGCTGCTCGTCCGCGTATTGATAAGGCTTATCTAGTGCAAGGGCATATTTTGAAACATGGAGCAGATGGATCTTTGATATACTTTTTCCCCGGTTGTATAAATGAAATCTTGTTGCCAAATGCGGGGTATCATTTGTATAACTGCCATGAACTAACCATTTCCCTGCAGATCATAGAAGAATCTCATGCAGGTGGAACATACAGGGAGACGCGCAACATGACAAGGAACGAACAAGAAAGTTCATCATCCTCGACACCCGTGCAGATATACGAGGCAGGTTGGGCACCAACTAGGGATGCACCCGGAAGGACCCAAGCTCCACGCCATAACATCGGAGTCTCAACCTGGTCAAGCGCCAGTGAGGACCGGTGGCATGCGCCTCATGACATCCACTGGGAGGGACAATCAACCTCCTAGATCAAGTGGTGTGCCTCCATCTCCAAGTGAATGGCGCTCGAGTTCCTCTCGTTGGGACTTGGGTGAAATCACTAGGAGGATGGACACCCTTGATATGCAGACGGGGGAGATCCAGTACAACCTCACGGAACACACAGCTCAAACGCAAGAATGGCAACAATCTGCTGATGCTCAATTCCCCAACATCAACAACATGATGCAACAACAGCATGATGACCTTCAGGCGTACTTTCGTTTTTAGGGGTTCAATCCTTATCAAGGACCCTAAGCGAAAGCCAGGCTTGGGGGGAGACTTCACTCCCCCCACTGAGGTAACTTGTATCACATTGCATATTTCCCTTTCCAATTGCATATTTGTTTTCCAATTGCATCCTATAAAAAATAAAAACAATATAAAAATTTGCAAAATAGAAAATACCAAAAAGATATGATAGGTTTGAGTCATGCTAGGTAAGACAAGCTAGTTCTCTTTGTTGAAATGATGAATAGTTGCTCTGTTTTATATCTCTGATATATGGGTTCTTGGTAAATACTCTCTCAAAGGTTAAATATGAGTAGCCAACAATTATCTGGGAAACTGAGGTAAATGGGCTGCACTTGCTGATCTAAGTCTAAGCTGTTGCGAGATATGAGATAGT